TAAATATGAATAAGTAATATATATAAAAAAATACATAGAAACAAAAACAAATAAATTACTTATTTAATTATAAGTGAACTTTTGAAACTTAGTCAAACACGCATGAAATAAATACATAATTTGATAACAAGTTCTTCACGTTACACGCATGTGAATTAAATAAATATGTAATTATTGTGGAGTCTCTAACTAAATTTAAACATGAACATTGGACTTGGGTTGAGACTAAGGTTGGTTAGGTTAAAATGAATTTAAAGCCTGGAATTGCATAAATACTATTTCAAAATTTTACTTTTCATCTGGGCTGAAGTAGACTTGAACTATAACCGCCCTTACATATAACTATAGTTGGTATGAGACAGGTTGTCGCACCTACTAGCTACTCCATCAACACGCTTCTATGATAATGGGACATTCTCATTGTTGTAGTATGTTACAAGTGAATTTGTGATTAAAAATTAATAAATATTCAATCTAAAACATTATCAATAAGAACAGGAAAAAAAAAACCCTGCTTGAGTGTCAATTATTCTTATCAATAGGAGGACAAAAATTGATCCGTATCCACCAACATACATTCAAACTTTGTCAGTCACGTGCGTAATTAATTGAGAAGGTTGCCTAAACTGCAAGATTATATACATTCAAAAGGAAAGAATATGCCACAATTTAATGCCAATTCAAGGAAGAAAGAACCCTAATTGCCTTTGAATTGAATCCATTTTGAGATATACTCTAAACTAAGCCAAGAATATGCCACAATTCAATGCCAATTCAAGGGAGAAAGGACCCTAATTGCCTTTGAATTGAATCCATTTTGAGATATACTCTGAACTAAGCCAAGAATATGCTTTGTCAAATCTTATCTAAAAAAAAAAAAAAAGAATAATATTTATTCGTTCCTTATTTCCCTGTTTGAGCCACATTATATTTTTCATTCGCATTCTTCTACTCATTTTCAACCACACTTTTTTCAATAAAATAATATTTTCTATCACATCAATAATTTTACCTTCTTTTCCAACCACATATTCACCATCACATCAACCAAAAAAATGCATTCTCTCCACAAAAATATCTACCAAACAGAGTAAACAAAATCGATTCTTTCAAGTCCGCTCTTGTTTTATTCACGGAATAATTCAAAGCATGTTTCTTAAATAAAGAATAGAGGGACACAATTTTATATTTTAATATTTTTACATTCAAAAAATTTAAGTCCAAGGTATTCCTTGTGTAGGGGTACAAAAGTAACACCACACGTTTCCCTCTTTCATAAGTCGCATTTCAATTTTCACACGATATTCTTTTTCTACTACCGTACACAACTATGCAAACTATCTTATATTCCGCACTGCAGACATACGTATATATTCATATGCCTACGCAGAATCCCTTTCAAATTCGGCGCCACTGTTTCATTGAAGAAGAAGTTGAATTGAAAATGGTGGGAACGAGCGAGGACAGGTCAGAAATTGCGTTCTTTGATGTGGAGACGACGGTGCCGACTAGATCTGGGCAGGGTTTCGCTATATTGGAATTCGGAGCCATTTTGGTTTGCCCCAGGAAGCTGGTGGAGCTCCAGAGCTTCTCCACCCTGGTCCGACCAGCTGACCTCTCACGTATTTCAACTCTCTCTGTTCGCTGCTACGGCATTACGAAGGAGGCTGTAATTTCTGCCCCCAGTTTCATGGATATTGCTGATATCGTCTACGACATTCTTCATGGTAAAATGCCCATTTATATGCTAAAAGTATACAAGATTTCATGAGTTCGGGCATGGCGAAGTTTTAATAGAAATATGATAAAAGGAAGTGGAAAAGCTAATTTGGAAGGAAACATTGTGTGGAACTCCAGAATCATTTTTTTGTGGCTCATATAAACGCCTTGGGTTGCAGTTTCCTAATTTGGCTGTTTTGATCATATTCAGTTTTTGAGCATTCTATCAACTTCAATTTTGTCATGTTGGAATACTAAATAAATTGTTGTGCTTGAGTGCAAATAATTGAGCTGGATCGAAAAGGTCAAACTAAGCTATGCAAAATACAAACCATGGCACGTTTCCAGGTTTACATAAGAAGTGTATGATTATTTGGGTGGAACGCATTAGATTCTTTCATTTTATATTGAAGGTTTAGCTTTCTTATTATTTTTTGATTGGAGAGATCCTTGGATCCTGGGCATTGATAAACCTTGTGAATTTATTTTCACAGATCATTGATTTTGTGAGAAGGAAATATAAATAGGATAATATGATAATCATCAAGAAGAGAGTTACTTCATTACAAGTTAATGACTGGATAATGTTGCCATTCGTATTGTTTATTCAGATTATCCTCAATAGATATGTGGTAGGTATGTGTAGGTTCTTTTGGACTCCTAAAATACTGAAGCTTTTATATTTTTTGATAGTTTCTTTTTTATCTATTTTGATTTTGATTTCATGTGTCTCATGGGAATTTTCCTTCTTGGATGTTCGGGATTTTGAACACTTATTTGGTTTTGATTGTTATCTCGTGTGTGTAGGGAGGATATGGGCAGGCCATAATATACTGAGATTTGATTGTGCTCGCATAAGGGAGGCATTTGCTGAGATTAACAGGCCTGCTCCTGAGCCAAAGGGAACCATTGATTCATTGGCAGTATTGACGCAAAAGTTTGGAAGGAGAGCTGGCGACATGAAGGTAGAATTCTTCTTCACATTAGTTAAAATTATTCAAACTTTTTCACAATATCAAGAAAGACAACAATGCATCAACTTTGTGGGAACTGTTATTTTCATGAGATATGATTTGGAAAAATATAACATAGAGATTTAGTCTTATCAAATAACAAAGAGTTGTCTTGGCTGAATCTGGACGATATTGTTAATTTTTTTTATTTTTTATTTATTCTAACTTTTGAAACCTCTGGCCTTTTTGTTGATAAAATGGATGAAATTCGTTGTATAACTTCACAGTTTATAAGCAGTTGCATTAAATGTTAACGAAAAAATTTAATGTACTATCAAGATATTTGATCGAAGAACCAGGTCAAATTTGGCTTCTACCGTGCTTATACAAGTCTCGCTTGCCTCTTTTCACTTCAGGAGTTGGAATTTAGCCATTAAGTAACTGAATGCGTGTGCATAGATGTAGGCTTAGCCTAGGTCCTAACCAAATGGGTTGAGCAATATTTAGATGGGCGCACTGTACTTAACATTTCTATTCAAATTTGTTATGTCGAAGTTCATCTCTGGATGAATCACCGACTTTTTTCTTTTGAGCACGACATTGTTGAAGGCAAAATATTGCACAGATTTTTTGCTATTAAATTTTTAGGTGGTATACAATCTCATTTGGTATTTTTCATTTTGTTTATCTTTCTAATTAACAAGGAAAACAAGAATCCTTTGTTTTTTTTTGCTTGAAGCTTCTCTCAACATTTCTAACATCTTGAATTGTGGAGCCATTTAGAATGTATATCAGCAGAAGTGGTTTGTGTAATTAGTTTTTATTGGCAATGTCATTTATATACTGATTTTAAGGTATTCTTTTGTCCAGATGGCCACTCTTGCAACTTATTTTGGGCTTGGCCAGCAAACACATAGGCAAGTGTACCTTTGCATTATTCTATATATGCACTTTCCGCCCATTGCAGAAGCACCCATTAATATTTCCTATTATTACATTCAGGAGCTTAGATGATGTTCGGATGAATCTTGAAGTTCTCAAATACTGTGCAACTGTGTTATTCTTGGTATTTTCATGATTTCTTTTTATTTTTCATTTATTTTAACTGGATTATATGCTGCTGAAATTTTTTTTTAATATGAATCTGAAATTTGGAAAATTAACCATTGATTCATCTACCCGAGCCAAATTAATAAACATATTTTCCTTTCAATTCTATTGTATTCTTATGACCTCATTTTAATGTCACTGAACCAGAATCTCTTCTTTCTTTTCTGTATATGTTCTGAACCAACAATGTTGAACTCTATAATATGACATCATTACAAATAATCAACAGGTCTCTAAAGCTCCTGAAAGGAATAAAAATGAAGTTTCATCAGTTCCATCCAGTTTCATCTGTATGGATTATTTGTGCAGCTTCTATTTGACTAAGCTGCCTTATATATAGATCCTTCGTACTAGTATATCTCTGTCTATTAATATGTGATCATCTGAGTTCAGAAACAGAAACCTAGCACAAAGAGTTGGTGAACCTTATGACAGTTGCAATTGTTGGACTTTACTAGTTCAACTCTATTATCTTGTTTATATACACTTGTAACTGACATCAACTTTTAACAAGGATATTTAATCTCTGTTGTAAATATTGGTCTGCGTGGTATAACAATAATCTATTTTTCTTTTCTGCTGGCAGGAATCCAGCCTCCCAGACATACTTACAGACAAAAGTTGGGTTTCTCCTAATGCTACAACTAGAAGTCGAAGAAAGGTGGAAAATTCTGTAGAGCGGGCAAGCAAGAATGTAAATACACCTTCATCAAGTTTTAGTGTGGAAATCCATTCAACGTCTCAAACAAGTGATGAAATGGAAGAAATTCACCCTATACTATCGCCTGTTATGCCTAACACAGGTAAAGTAACTGGGGATCTAATTGAATCTATCAGTGCAAGATCAGACCCTTTTAACTTGGCAGCACTCAGTGATGAAATGATAAAAGACCCTCTTATGGAAGAAGAGAAAAGCCTATCAACTGAACAGTCTTTTACTGCATCTGCTTCTGGGGGTTCCAATGGCTGTACTGACTTCTTGGAGGCTGATAATGTTTCAATACCTTCTCTAAATGTAACTTCTGTACCATTTTACTGTGGAAGTCAAAAGATACAAGTATTGCATAAAAATTTCCCATTGCAAGTTTTGTGTAGACACCTGAAGGTGCGCTTTGGAATTAGTACAAAGTTTTTTGATCATACTGTTCGGCCGCGATTGAGCTTTGTTGTGAATGCACCACCAAGCCTATGCCAGGTTCTGGATACCTGTGATAATCTTGCTCAGAAGTTATCTGTGGACTCTGGTAGCTGCTCCGAGTGGAGATCTGTTGTGACTAGGAAGCCTGGTTTCGATAACTATCCCACTGTCCGATTGCAGTAAGTTTCTCTTGGCTTAATTGGCATTATTATATTTCCTTTTCAATCACTCTGAACATAATTTTTCTTGTCTTCTCTGTGAATCCATGTTTATAATTCCGTGCATTTGTTTAGTACACATGTCCATAATTACTCGTCTTATGTCTACTTCTTTTCTTTCTCTCCTGTTTATACCCTCAACTATTCAAACATTGTTAAAATATGAAAACCAGAATGGTAGTTGCTGTTCATTAAACGTTGTTTTCTTCTTCTTTCTATTTCGTTGGCTACAGCAGGAGTGTTGTGAAATGTAATACTACGGTTGTTGAATTAAAGACTCATATTTTAATGTATGTACGTGCACAGTTTACCTACTGTAGCAGATGGTGATGATATCCGTTGCATAACAGAGATATACCGGAAAGATTCTTCGGCCACACAAAGGCTCGTGTTTAGTAGATTCGACAATGTAGAGTTGGAATCCCTTTTCACCCCAGGGAATCTTGTGGATGCATACTTCTCCTTGGATGCCTACGATTACCAGCAGAATGCTGGCATCAGAGCAGTAGCAAGAAAGCTGATTATCTATGCTAAATGATGGACACAAAGATATATTTACCGTAAGGTGACTGTTAAAGCAGATGGAATTAACCCTTTTATTTTTATTTAGTGTACTCTTTTATAGAAACTGGTTACTAATTCTTGTATGTAAAGATTGATCTTGCTGCAATAATGTAAATGATGAAATTTGTACTCTTTAATTTCTGCTACAAATCAAACTTCTGTTGATTTATGTGATCTTAAGATGTCTTTACAAAACGAGATTGATTTATAGCTGAAGCACTTCAATTTTACAACTCTTATTACGTACTAGTGATCTGCTTTTAGCAATCCTCTATCAGTCATCTAATATTTGGATTCATTATGATACAATACAACCAAAAATACCTAAGAATTAGGCCAACCCTGGTAAGCCAAACTTTCTGTCGAGGGCTCTATGTGAAGCAGAAATATCAGGGCTTTGATATTTATCGAGAACACAAGATATTTTGGTACAACCAAATGCGGTGCAAAATGTGTCTTATTGATTGCAGCAAAATGGGAATTCTGCACTGCGTTGCCTACATCAAGTGATCATCTATAAAATATTTATAGAAATTTCTATAGATTGGGGAGTCGCTTTCACAATTCGGAATGCCCTTCCTCGTCTCTAGATGTCCAATTATCCACCTAAAAAGGGGGTACTTTTAAAAAGGGCCCTGTCGAAAGCCCATATTTCCACTTTGACTTTTCCTTTATTGCATATTTCCACGGTGGCTTATTTGAGGTCTAAAGGCAAAAATGCATTTAAGTGTATAAAACAATTACAAAATATGATTTTGTTAAAAAGACAATACTACCATTAGTTAACAAATAAAAACAAAACACTGCCTACTTAAAATTTCAAAATCAGCTCCAACA